AAAAAAACTGTAGGGTGGAAAAGTTACCTGTAGTTTCATAAGTGGATCTTCCTGGATGCGCTCACGTTCCTTTCATTCATTTCCATATACTCCTTCTCATACTTCAGTAGGCGCTTGTGTTTCAACTGAAACATTTGGAAATTAAGTAAAACGCTAGCTCGAACTTAACAGAAGATTTCACGCTTACGCAGAACGTTTTCTGCGTGACATAAGTAATTGATATTGGCGAAAAGTTTGAGAAAACTCTGCTCATCAGTAAGCTAAGTAAAGTTAAGAATAAGGAAGAGGTAAAAGGAGCAACTGAAGGATGAGAGTGCATTATTCGGAAGAAAAAGAATCTGATAATGAAAAGTTTCGACGTGGTTGAGCCTCTAGCCAACAAAAAATTCCGGTTTGATCAAAGAAGTTACATAAGGATATCGTAAGGATTTTCGGCCAATGGAAATGTGTCACAGTCCGCAGGCCGCGTTGAAAAGCGTGACACGCTAGCTGGTCACACACGAAGTACCTTCTTTTGAGTATACGCGATTTTTCCGGATTTTTCTGCATTTCTGCAGACTGAGCATAAATATGACCTTCTACGACGTGGTCCAGATTTCTTGTGATTGAGCTTGTTGAAAAAAGTTTGAATAATCATTGATGAGGTAGTAGTGGAAGAAGGTAGCTGGCTAAAAGCCCGAAGCGCGCAGTGTTGTCAACGTGTTGAGCAATGTTAAATCTTTGCCCTACGAAGTCATCGCTTCAATGGGCGTGAAAAAGGTTGTCAGAAACGGTGATGTAAAAAAATATTTTGTTCGATGAATTCAGCAGTAATCAACTATGCATTAGGTACGACATATGTTACTGTAACTTTTGGGATAGAGATGGCGCTGAGGTGAGCGTCAATAGTGGAATGTAATCGTAAAAAAACTTACTAAGATCATAAAATAAATCGGTGAGGAGATCTGAAAGATGATTCAATGCAAAGAAGCAGAAAACGAACCTTGAATTCCACAGCATGACGGATCAACGCTTTCGCATTTGCTTCCGTTCTATATTTCCGAGGTAGCGTTACTCGAAAATACCTAAGTGAAAATGTTGTTAGTTCTAGAAAGATTGAAACAAAATCTGAAAAATTTTCCTTCCAACATCCCTATGAGCACATTTTCCTAAGTTTGAAAAGTGTGCTATGTTTCTGTGTAAAAGTCAATAAACATTCATTGCGTCACGGCTACTCAGTTGAATTTGATGCACTGAACTTATATGTACAGTATGAGCTGGAAATATTTTTATTTTTCGGAACCCACCCTGTCCCAAAAGTATAAAGGCACCCTAGCCACAAGAAGTTTGACAGTGCAGTTCCTTCTTCTTTTCAATTCATCGTCAATCTGACCATGCTTAGTAGAAACACACTACTTAATCAGTATAGCTCGACGACCTGAGCTTTCTACCTTGGAACAAGTTCGTGCAAAGATCAAATGATTCACGTGAGCGATAAAAGGATAAAAAGGATAAAGCATTTGCCGTTGATCAATAAGCATTTGCCGTTGATCAATCCCTTTTTGGGATGCGGCACGCATTCTACTTCCATTTGTACATTCGTAGTGGCGTTTGAATGCGATGTGGCCTATACAATGACTTGCGGGGGCCAGCCGATGTACAAGTCAGTGTTTTTATCCTCCCAGACAAGTCTGGTACCAATTAACCGACCCCGGAGGGATGGAAGGCTTGGTTGGCCCGGGCGACTCACGACCCAGGATTTGATCCCGGACCGCTCGCGTGGTAAGCGCGCCACTTGTCACTACACCACTTCCGCCCCGATCTCCCTTTTTAATTGACTAATATAAAATGGACAGCTGTCCTGGAAACAGCGGAGTCTATACAAGACCACAAGCAATTTGAACAAGAAGTACGTTATATCCAGCAAATGCATTTCGGTTCTGCCAGATCGGTCAGCAATTCCGCAGCATGAGCTTACTCTCTCTGCACCAGGAATTACCATCTGAAGAACGCCAACTCATTTTCAAGTGTTGAGTCCAAGATGTAGGCCCCTTGGCCGAGTAGGCACTACGAAACAACAGCTTGCCCCGAATTAGCTCGGAGAAACATAGGAACAGACTGGGATGCGGCAAGTGGTTCTTCACAACAGGCACGCATTTTCAATATGATGACTAGTTGACGCTTTGTTAATTTCAGTTCGTTAAGACGTGCCCGATGGAAGAAGCTGATGGAGGTCCCAGAAAAGATGAACCGGATCAGCCGGGTACTTTCGTGGTGGATCCCATATGGTCGAAAATACATGCTGCAATGGTGCTGTACTTTCTCTGGCTCCTGTGTAGCTCGAAGTTGAACTCCAATATTCGTTCCTAAGCGAAGAAAGCCCATAGAATTCAATCTTCATTCACGACCAACCGCGCCGCCATCCACGGTAGGCGATTCGCTAAACTGTGGACAAGCGTCAACGAAATCTATGTTAAGGATTAGCCGGCCTGCAATTCGGATCTGAATGCTACAGAAGACATTTGGGAAATTATTGTGAAGCAAATTTCTCTAGCTGGTAAGCAGTAAAATTTTGTGGAATCCTCTGGTCGAGACCTCGCGGCGCTACCTGGATGCTGTTCCTCTAAAGAAATCTTATCGCCCAAGTGCATTGAAGAGCCTGCGTTATTTCCACGCATCCCCACAAAATCGTCAATGAGTCGACAGGAAGAAGAAATTTTATTGGTGAAATCTTCTTGTCCAGGGTGCCTTTATAATTTCGAAACAGAAGGACATATTCCAATTTTCATATTAACATGTTTCCAGCTTATATTGTTCCCAGAAATAGAGTGAACTATACTTCCAGAATACGCTGAATTCCATCAAATAGGCTGCAGCCACGAAAGGTTCCCCTAGCATGAAACAGCTGTTTTCAGGACCCGTTACATTTAAATACACTGTATAAACAACAAATTGTCCTGACTCTCTGTCTATTTGCCTATCTGTCCGCCACAAACTTCTTAACTGCAAGAAAACATACTTCAGAGCTCCCTCGAAATCCAGTTGAAGTAAATCGTCCGCAGCATCATGAAGCAAAGCCAGAGAAATGTGAAATATAGTGTTCATTCCCTAAACATTCAAAAACTCGCTATTGCCACTACATCGTACAATTTCCTCAACCATAGAAAGTGATTTCGCCATTGTAAATGAAAAAAAAGAGGTAGCGAGTGGTGGAAAGGTGGAG